CTGTGATCAAGAAGGTACTTTTCCAGTTCTGGATGTTGAAATCCGGTGTGAGTATAGGAGAAAATATCAAAAGGAGACTGTTTACTCATGTCTCATTGAAGGCTGTGTGCATTTATTTGCATCAGTCTATAGTTCATTTGTGTGTAGGTTTTCAAAAAGGAATTTTTCAGGGTAACGTACTTGACATTTTAATTCATTAATCAATGTATTTAAACAAAATGAGATCAAAGATTCTGAGATGCTCAGTCATTAAGCAAAAAGTTCATGAACGTAGCAATGATATTACTGACTATATGTCAGAGAACATTTTTTGAAGGATTTAAGATATGTTGAGGAATACATACAATTCAAGACGATCCCGTTAATACTCAAGAAATCCCAAAACAATGCCTTAGAAAGGTTTTGCTTAGATACAGCCATCTCCATAAGAAAGATGATTCTATTCATAAACCCTTTCAGTAGAAAGCATCATAATTTAGGGATTTAGAGAATCTGAAAATGTAAAGAATTAGCGTATTAATTCTGCCTTGGTTTATGTTCATTTAAATCAGATGTTCTCCTCAGCCTTTAAATAACCTACTCCTTTTTATGTGTCCTGAGTAGATAATAGTAGTGCGAGGCTCTATAAGCTAGATTTCCAGAAGGAGATTCAATTTTGAATGTAACAGAAAAGATTTTAGTATGCAACTTATCCTAATGCATGGTACTTCACATAATATATACGCAGCCCTGCGTGCCAAGGAGGTATCCACCAGCTTTCGGTTAGTAGAATTCATGGGACGATAGATCATATGCAGGCCAAATGCAAGGGCTCTTCAAGAAGGAAATGAGCACAAAGATAACTTTATAGAAAAATGGGCCTTTCAGGAAAGTAATGTAGCTTGTGCCCTTTGTTTGCAGACTCTGTTTTTTTACTTTTGTGATATTTTCTGTAAATTTTCAATAGAAATTTTCAAGTCAGAGTCTGGACCAGAGATTGCATTTGTAAAAATTGGTGTGAGAACTGTTGTTTGCAGAGATGCTAGCATGCACCGCAAACAAGGATTTTGAATCTGCAACTTTTCCTTCTCACTACCCTATTTGGGTTGTGTGTGCAAATGTATAAACAAGATATGCTTTTACAAACGAGCTGTATTTTTTCAAGCACCTCTCCTGGCAGTTCGATTCAAGATGTGATGGAAACCCTCTCCCCTAGGAGTGGAAAAAATTCAATTCGTTTGATGTGCTCTAGCCCCTCTCACAGGAAACTTGCCCCTGCCCGTTCCTTTGTTAGCAGGTTTCCTTCTATGCTCCTCACATCCATTGGGTCTGAACCCCTCTCTACGGCAGCTCTTAGAAGTGCTCTTCCTGTGTTTTTCTGTGAAACCCCAGCTAACAAAATGGGAAGTGAAGAGGTACAGTTCTGTTTCAAAACACTGTGGATCACCCACTTAACTCCCTCATAACCATTTTAACGCCCTTTCTTTCATTCTCTTTCGTCCATCTTTCAGATCTAAGCTTTTATCTTTCGTCTTTGTGTTCTACCTTCTCCAATTATTATTTCAGGCTGCAATGGTATTATTTCAGCAGCTGTAAAGAGACATTAAGATAGAGTTCATAAAACTAAATTATATTTTCTATTCAGGAATTGGCAGTATATTTTACTTCTGCTTAGCGCTGTGAGAGATGGAAAAAATAATAAAACTGTATTCTTATCTGATGATGCCTCATGGGCCTACCCACTCTCTCCTGGCTTCAACAGGTTGATAGATGCATACAAAATAGTCTAATTCTCTGAAATATCTATGTAGAATCCCTTAGAACTATAGTAATAGATTATAAAGAAAGTTTATAGCATTTCTTCAAAAGAAAATCCATAATATTTCTTCAAGGAAAAATAGCTTAAATTTGAATATTTTACTGAAAATCTCCTTTTATTTGATTCAAGATGTAAATGGTCTAAAATTACAATTATGTTGTTTTAGGCTGTAAACACATAAAATTGAGTTACTTTACATATGAAAGCCAAGAAACAATCTCAGCTATGCCTTGCTGGAGAGTAATAATGAATCTCTTTTAATATCATAAAAGCACCCATAAATACCCTCAGTGAAATCTTATTTTTATTGCCATTCTGCACAATTTCAAGTGATTAGGTTGACAACTATCCATAGGTTCTTTCTAATATAAAAAGAAAAGCAAAGGATTTTGATAATAAGTTTTCAGGTGGTATGTTGCAAGAATTCTGCTAATTTGTATCTAGTTCAGCCAAACGCATTTTTCACTTTGGCCATTGCTGGCAAGGTGGCAATGATAAACGATGTGACTAGTTAACTGAACAGAATGATCAGTGTGCTTTGAATTCAGATCACAGCTTAGAAGAGGTCAGCATCCCTAAATCCAAACTGAACAGCATCAGTGGAGAATTTCAGGTTTATCCTCCATCTCAACAGTCTGTTGTCAATGCAGTATCATTATTTAGCTGTAACTCACTGCTTTATTAAATTTAGGCATCATCAACTAATATTAAAACTTACTTTGAATTCTGTGATAACATGTTGGACATAGTCGTCTTATGTCATGAGGCTTTCCTTCAAGATGTTTATTTTTTTTTAATCAGCATGTATAAATATTTGATGGGAGGGTGTAAAGAAGACAGAGCCACACTTCTCAGTGGTGCCCAGTGACCCGGTGACAGGAAATGGGTACAAATCAGAATACAGGAAAATCCATCTGAACATAAGAAAGCACTTATTCACTGTGGGGGTGGTTGAACACCAGAATAGGTTGCCTAGAGAGGCTGTGGAGTCTCCATCCTTGGAGATACTCAAAACCCAATTGGACAGGGTCCTGGGCCCCCTGCTCTAGCTGACCCTACCTGAGCAAGGGGTTGGACCGGATGATCTCCAGAGGTACCTGCCCACCCTAGCTATTCTGCGACTCTATGAGAACTGTTACTTTCCGGTAATCCAAATGATTTGTCAGCTGTTATGCCGTTTAATGACCTGGGAGCTCTGGTGATGCTTCCCAGTGTGTGGTTGTGCTTCCCTGTGTCCTACAGAAATGAAAAAAAAAATCACCAAATTGCCTTCTGTATTTTCATCATATTACATGAGATAAATTTTCAGTCTAAGAAACTACTAGCGTAAGAGATCATTCTCTCCTGCCTCCCAGAGAATCAATAGCGTTGTTTTAACTATACACTGTTGCTGTGTCCCTTCAGAAATGAACTAGTTGCATACGTGTGATGTATACCTATTTGGGCAAAATGTGCGTGTATTGGTGAACATCACCTCATTCTGCAAGTAAGTTCAGTGAAGCGAGTGCCACTACATCTCTTGCTTTTCAACAGCAAGGTATTAAGAAGCTGGTCCTTAATTTGTCATAAGCAATGCTGTTATGCAGAATCTGTGTATTTCACCCCAGTTTTTTTCCGTTCCTGGACTATGTTCCACTTCGTATTGTTTAGGAATCCTTTTTCTTCAACTTTTGGGTAGCTTTTGCTTTTCAGTTAGCGGGCAAAACTCTTACTTTGCTTTAATGGGGCCAGAATACTGGTCCAGGATGAGTTACTCATAATTTTAAAAGGCTTCTAAGTGCCTTTAACAAAGCAGCAATGTTATCAAATTTATGAAAGCAGGGTTGGCTCACTTGAAAAGCTATGTGTTATTATGGCTAGATGATTAAATGGGCTTGGAAATTTTAAGAAGAGATAATCTTGCACTCTGTTCTGTCAGAGTAAAAAACTACAGGGCCTGTATCCACCATAGATTATTTGTTGGAGGCTGAGTTGTTATTATCTCTTAAAAGTCCTGACGGCACAGTGATTGCTTAAGCAAAAAGGGGCGCATTTCTGGTAGAAGAGAAATGTAATCTGTACTTGATGTTCTGACTGAATGTAAACATTATTCATGACATACAGCATAGGCCTCTTCCCTAGCGGTTTTATGGCTTGGGCTTCACTGGTCTTCTGTTGCTGAGCTACATCATTTCATAAATATATCATCTGGACTGAAAGCACTTAGTAAATTCTGGATTGACAGAGTATATGGATCAGTGAAGCTGGTAACCGTTTATCTTTTAAATTATATAAACATTCTTCCAACTGCGCCTACCTGAGTGGTTATATTTGGGTCATAGCATATACCTCTACACAGGCCTCTCTTGATATTTTTCAGAAACAATATTTTATTAGGTATCCCTAAGAAGGAGAAATCATCAGAAAGACTGTCCAGTACCCTTCCTACCCTGACAAGAGTAGAAGGTGGTTTTCAGTGGCAGTTACGTATCCAGAGGGTAGGAAATGGTCACTACTTCCTAAATTGCCAAACTGATTCTGGCCTGGTATAAAGATTACTGGTACGCTATTTGCAAACCTGCTTTTCATGGATCCAGAGCATTATGCGTTTGGGTGGCAGAATTTCTAACCACACTGCAGCTACCATGTTGTTACAAACCTCTTGAAGGACATCATTGCAACATAACAGATCCGTTGGCATAAATACACATTTTAGGCTGAAGTACACAAAACAGAAATACTGAAACATACTTTACTGAAGAGATGAGTAACTTCCAATGCAAATTCTAAAGATAAATCGTGGCCAGATTTTTAATGGCCTTGAGTCAAAGCGAGGAGCTGGAAGCCATGGCGATGAGAAGCTATGCTTCCAGGTTTCAGAGCCTGCAGAGCTCTGGACCTCACAAGAATCAGGATCTGAGAGCTATTAATACACAGGGGTAAATCAGAAAAATATTTTCTATTTATTTTGTATTTCTGTTACGTCGTCTTTACAAGGATCTCAGACAACTTCACAGGTAATGACTGCAGCTTGAAGCTATTCCTGCCTTGAAACTCATTGCATAAACAATGTCAGGATAGGTTAGTTACTCGGTGCAGAGCATCCTCGGCATGCTGCCAAGTGTGTGCCTTGTCTCTGCGCCTGTCAGTACAGAGATTTTGTAGTTGGAAGTTCTGTGTGTGGTGGGCCTACCTTAACATTTTTTTAAAACCTTTCTTCCAGGAACAATGCTCAGCTTTCTCCATCGGAGTAATACGATTCATTTAGCGGAATCACTTACGATTTACACCAGGTAAGTGAAACTCGAATCTAGGCCTTGATCTTTCCAGTGCAATTTCATCAGTTCTGTTTGATATGAAATGAAAGGAGTCCATTGCGTTCTTCAGTGATTTTTGAAGCAAAATCGTTTGATTGGTTCCAGGCAGTATAAAAGAGGTCTTCACTCCTGGGGTTAGCTTTAGAACTGAAACTGTGGATTGAAGACCAAATCTCTTATTGTATTGTTTTCCAGGAGTTATTTTTCATGGACAGTGATCAATGATGAGTGCTGATAATGACAACAGTGATTTCCAAGTTAAACATTAAGGATATAAAAGTTAAGTATAGTAAGTTCCTCTGACTTTAGACTGAGCACTATATGTTTAAGCAGTCTTTCAATTCAAAACATCTTGTTTTGTTTTTAAATTGACACCTTGATGTTGATCTGACGGTGGTGTAAATGAGAAGGTCAAAGAGGTGTCTCTCATGTAAAATCAAAGTGAATTCAGAAGCATATTCCAGGTACTGAAATAGCGTGAAATCTAGAGTACATAAACATAACATACTGCTGGCAAATACAAAAGTCTATCAAATGCCAAATGTCTACAGTACTGCAAATTAACTGCTGTGGCAGGGATGCCAGCAGCAGTATTCAGAATGGAAAGAGCAGAGCTCCATTACAGAGGTCATAAAATAATCCTTTCCCTCGATCTTCGGCTCCCCAAACTAGAAGAGGCAGAAGGAGCTGGCTCCAAACCATCTTTTATCAGTGATGGATGCGGCACTGCTTTGTCCAGTAAAACTGTTTATTTACTAATAGGAAAAAAATAAATCTTTTCTGATGACACCTACCTCTCTAACCTGCTAGAGAAAGCACAAACAGATGGGTATCTCTGTGACTGTGAGTGATGAAACCAGTCTAGAGAAATAACCAGCAATGTCTGACTAGAGCTAATATTGCAACACGCAGTAACATCACCAGCATGCCACATTAGGACATACTCATTTTCTTTATGCCAAGAATATGACCTATGGTACTGCATGGTTTGATTTAAAAGAATGGCTTTTTCCAGCAAAAAGGTATCAGGTATTTTATAAAAATGCAAAATCTGCTCAGTGAATCCCAGACAGATTTAAATTCCTTAGACTTTCCCCTGTATTGCCAGCAAAATTAAGGGATGCTACTGGTTTTTAAAAAAGCAGGTTACATGCTTTATGGATTTTAAAGGGAAAGAAGTATTTTTTTCATTGTCTTACCTGGAAACAGAACATATGGGAATGTATTTTTAAAAACAGTCATTTCCCTTTATTTGTGAAACTCCATGCAAGTTTTGATACAGGCGATTTTTTTTCCTTGAGGATGTAAATAAAAAAAAATTGCAACAAGCCTAGGTACTTTAAACTTATATAAACTAATGATATAAACCAGTTAAAACATGCAAGTAAGAACAGAATCAGACCTTGACTTGTCAGCAGAGTGAGTACATATAGCTCAGAAACTTATTTGTGGAATTAAAATAGGTGGAATCATTTGTTTGCAATAAGTCTAGTACTTTATCAGAAGATTAAAACCTATCACTTATCAATGCTCAGGAAATGATACTTTTGTTTTTTGTAAATCAAAACTGGAGGACTTTTGGGTGTATTTTCTCATCAAGCACTGACTTAGGAAACAATACTCTTTTACCTTATTTTTCCTCCTCAGTAGTCTACAGGAGCAGTTTGGTAAGATGGGTAATTTAAAGATTTCTGTATGAGAACATTCTTATCCCTTAATCCTTAAATCATAACAATTGAATATAAATACTTGTCAAAAACAGCCAATACAACTACAAAATAGGAATTAGTAAGAGCATTTTTAGATTAAAATTTCTAGAGTTGGAAAGAAGCGACATGTAATCTCAGTACCTTCACAAGCACTGTAGCAGTCTGAAGAGGATTTGTTCTGTTTTTTTTTGAGAACAATAGCATAAGCTACAAGGGAGAGAAACTGTTATTCAAGTAGGATTTAAGAATAATCATAATTCATAATTTACATACAGAAATTGAATTGTAAGTTCATTCTTTTTTTCTTATATCTTCTAATCATCAGCGCTTTACAATACTGCTTGAACTGGTAACCCACACGTGACACTGGTCGTTCTGGTTATAAATTAGGAAATACATACAATTTAAGCAATTGCTTTCATTTCTAAATACTAAAACAAATGAGTTCTCTCATTTAACCTTGAGGCACATGATTTTTTAAATGTTAGTCTTGCCTGTGACATCCAGACATAACAGACATCTTGCATAATGCAAGAAAGATAGAAAATAATGCAATTGCAGTTCCTGAAGTCTTGAAAAATGAAAGCTGTTTTCATCCCTTACCCAGTGGAAAGATTTGTGTGAAATCCCTGAAACTGTGGAGAGAGTGTTTAGCAGTTCCTGTTCCCACTGATGTCAGCAGGACTACTCAGTGACAGGAATTTGAGAAGGACCACCCTCCCTTGACCCCTTGACTTCAGTGTCTAGTTTCAGGCATCTTACTTCCAACGGGAAAAACCAGGCAAGCGTTTTCATTTGTGATTTGAATACTCTGGTTGAAAAGAATATTTGCATCAGAGGACTGAGAAGAGAGATTCTCAGTTTATATAATGACGTGAGTAAATATGAGGTTCTGATGGAACAAAAGGATTGTTTTTCCTTCCCTCCCCAAAGTGCACAAGCTGGTTGCATTTGTAGTGTGAAGTCCTAGGTGCAGCTTGCATATTCCAGAGGAGAAAGAGAAACAACCACCCAGCCTCTGATATATGGCTTGCTTTTGAAAGAAGCATATATTAATTTCAGATCTTGATATTTGGGATATTTGTTAAATCTTGCTTGGAGCTATATGTGAATAGCGTAAATCATAGTAAATGGCACCTACTATCTAAGCTTCCCTTTTTGGAAAACACACAAATTATTTGGTTAATCATTATATAAGCACAGTGTGAGTGTGTCTGATTTACTGTACCAATATCTACAGCTGCAGAATCTGTTCTACGCAGCAGCATTTAAATGACCTTTGGGTATACATTGTATTATACTATTAGCAACAAGGTGCGGCTTTGGGCAATAGTATATGCACAATGATTTGTATTTTTGATCAGCTGCTTTTACAGCTTCACCAAGCTAGAGACCTGTCAATAGCTGACTTTGTGAATCTGACAATCTGAGTAATGCATTGTACATACTTCTTGCTAGACAGAGAAAGAAAAATGTTTGTTTTGGGGCCTTTAAATTCAGAGACCTGGCTAAAATCAATTTATAGTTCAAAGAGGCTGGATGATACCTACATTAAGTGGTAAAATTGCTTCCACTGTGATAGTGTGCATTAAAATGTAACGCAAAGGCAGTAATCATTGGTTTGGAATAGAGTGAGGAGTGATGGTAGGTTTTCAAGTGTTGGAGGCTGGGGAACAATTTGACAGGTTTCAAATCAAGCAAGTTCATCTGGAATACTTCAGAAAAAAATTAGAAGAAAACCAAGGAACCTGACCTAATAACTGCTGTTATTAAGGAGTAAATGTCAGTTTACTAGGTAAATCACTCTGGGCTGCAAAAAGGGGACAACCAGCCAGGCTGTCCTTAGAGAACTGTGTGTTGAACTGTAAGAATTTGTATAGGGAAAGGAAGATCATATGACTGATGAGTGGTTGCTGTCTATTGCCACTTTCTGCCTGAGGTCAGGGCCCAGCTTTTCTTTTATCACAGCAGAAGACCTGTTCTGATGATCAGTCCTTAGAGATTAATGGGACTAGTCGGTTTTCTGAACTCCCTAAGGAAAAATACTACTCAAGCTATGAAATGTTTTAATTATCTGTTGTCTTTAGTTGTTGTTACAGTTGTTCTTACATGACACTTTATTTGCCATCATCTTCACAGGTCACCTTGGGGTTCAGATGCCTTGCAGCAAAAGAATCAAGAGGGCAGAGTGTTATTGGCATGTGTCCTGTTCTGATCTTACTGAGAAGGAAAGAACATGTTTTGGAATCATATGGCAATGCTCTGGCAGAAATACAGATGTGGTGGTTCATAACATCTACTAAGTCCTGATGTGAATAATTCTCTCTAGTGGCAAATGACATGGTGAATCTATTTAATTTCAACTCACAGAGCTAGGTATTCCTGAAATGAGGCTTCCTAGCTGTTCATCAGGTAAGAATGTTCACAGTCAGAACAAAACTCTTCAGTCACTGACTATAAAGTACATGGTATTGTAATGCCACAGTGTTTTACATATTCTTACAGCCTTTTTCTGCAAAACTGTTTAAAATTCCAAAAATCATAAAGTACCTGGTCTGGGAACTTTGGTGCATACTCGGCCATTTCCAAAAAACCCTGCTGGACATCGGCCACAAAAGTATCCAATGTAAGGTGGTTTCCGATCAAAACATAAGACTCCAGGGAAACATGGCCTATTGGCACAGGTGGTAATGTGTGGCAGGGGTGCTGTGTGGCATAAAAACAGAAGGTCAAGCCCTTTTTTGCATTATAATTTCTCAAATCAAATGCATACATAAGATAAGGCATGATTGACTGAACCTGACTAAAGCTTTACAGCGGCTTATATTCTTTTAAAATGTAATTAACGCAGAGTGTTCCCAACCTTGTGCCAAACATTACAATGTCCTGTAGGCACAGCATATCAGAACAGCTGTTTCTCATTAAAGCAAGATTTATTAGTCTTCTAATTACTTGTTTTCAAGTTTATTACTCAAAGTTGTTTGGCATTTATCATGGAGATAGAGAAATTGTAATTTTCAGCATAAGTGAAAGATTAACTGAGTGAGAAACTACATTATTCAGACATCCTTTCATTCTTTTGTGATTAGAAGGTAATCATCAAACTTTGCAGTACACATCCTATACCTTTAAAAATACCTTGTCAACTACATATGTTTCTGATCAAGAAATTATCCTTAATGTGTCAAAGATTGTATGAAAAGAGACTGCTTTAGTTGTCTTAGAACCATGTGCAAAATCAAACACTCTGGTAGTATATAGTATTTTGTCACTTATGATGTCACTAAATAGCAAGTGCATATGAACTGCCTGGGAAGAAGTTTTTAAGGGTGTCAAGAAAGAGAACAGATGAATAAAATGTTAATAATGGTTGTAGATCTTTTTTAATTGTCTCCAGTGAGGTCTATATCATGATTCTCAAGTATTTCCAGCATTATTCTTGCACCTTGCCTACAAAAAATATGATGGATGCCTGTAAGAGGCGTATTCTGGTTAGATCATGACTGGCCTGGCACAGATAAACAGATCAAGGTGAGAAAAAACTAACATTTTCATTTACATGTGCCCTACATAAGAAACATTTCCCGTCTCGATTCTTCCACTCCATGCTTTCACTAGAAAATCAACAAAAAATGTCATACTGAGTAGAACTGGGCCTGCATAAGATTTATGTGACTTTCCATATTAGAAAGTGCTTGATGCTCCTACTCCCATTGCACTTGCTGCGGGCACAAATGTTCTGGGAGAAGCAGGTGCCACAGCCATGTTCATACTTTAAGAGTCAATCTTTGTTTATGGTCAAAACTCAGTTCTCGTCCAGTGACTTCCAGTGCAATGCTGAAATAAAATGTCAGCTACGCTTGGTTGTGGCAAGTTCCTGTAAGCTGTCGTTCCTATTATCTTGCAGTACATTAATCAGTAGGATTGGGAGTGGTTTTGTTCCTTGTTGGAAGCAACGAGATCTCTATGTGAGCCTGACTACTGTAATTGCTATTACTCTAATAGCTCTCTTCCCATGCAGCAGTAATGCACGGTGTGATGTATTGAGGGGTTTTGTTTTTGTTTTTTAGCTCTGTCTTACTGATATGTTATAAGCAGTTAGCTTCTGTTTACTGTTAAGATGGTAAAATGTATGCTTTCTGAATACATAAACTGCAACATCTGAAAGAAATTTTGTATCATTGTACACCTACCGCGTGTATCACTTATGTTAATATTCTTAATTACAGGAGGATTCTTTGCCTCTAAGGGTTGCACTGGACGTTCAACCTCAGTCGTGTTCAGATCACCTTTGCCATCGTAATTGTCAGTGATGGAACCTTTTGTAATGTCAGCAGCAAGCACAGCTGTAATAAGACAGTATGGAGACAAGGAAACAAAGTATTAAGAGCTTAGATGTGACTGATGATGAAAACAAATGGTAACAGCAAACCAGATAACCTGACATAAGTTTATTCTAGAACTCCACCATCAAAAAAACAGATAAATCAGATGAGTCAGCTGCTGAAATGCAGGAAAGCTTTGACACAAATACAGAAAAAAATACTATGCTCAAATTCACTAAACTTAAGTCATCTGAAAGACATACTTAATATGCACAGTGGTCTTTTATTGAGCTACGGCTAGGCAGTGTGGTTACTTGCACGAAGATGCTACGCTGCATGCTGGGACCTGTGGTCTGTCTGATTCCTGCTTCTCCTTGAAAACTTCCCTCTGAAAACTACATTGTATATGTATGTTGGCTTCAGTTAGCTCAGCTGTCAACTTTGTACACTGCAAAATGCATGTACTAAGTATACATGGAAGTAAAGGGGAAAACTGATTGTTGGGGATGTTAAAAAATATTAATTCTTGCCTAAATTTAAGAGAATTTCTCAAAAGAATTTAGGGATTGTAAACTGTACATGGATATATGTTGTGAGGTAAACAGCTATTGCTCCGGGTCTCTTGGCTCTTTGGTACTCTTACAAAAAAGCTTGAGATTTACATTAAACAATGCAATGAGCTATAGCCCTCTATAATAGCTATAAAATTGGTTCAGTTTTGTCCTTCTGCTTCCTTGGGGATGCCTTTCCATTTGCTTCAACAAGGGAAGTATGAGCAGGTGTGTTCAGTCTCAGAACAGAGAGTAGCAGAACAGTGAAGAATGATTTGTATTATATTTTGGGTGGAAAAGGAAGCACTCAGAGGCAATAGCTACTTCACTTGTTTCTAATCAATGTGCATTTCAAAAGTAAAGAAATGTTTCTATAATTAAAAAAACACCTAAGGAGAAGTTAATGATTTTTCTGATATATTTTGAAAAAGGGCATAACTTTGTGTATCTGAATATCCTTCTGTTATTAGTCACACTAGCTACAAAAACACACATTGGAGATGCAGACACAGAATCAGCTTTGGAATGACTCAATGTTACCATCTAAGAGTAGAGAAAAAACATTTTTGTACAGACATTTGCAATGTGACGGAGGGATATTCTGTAAAACTGGCAAAGGCAACAGTGAGTCTTTTTACATCAGATTTTGTTTTCTTTTGGTCATCGATACGAGGAAAAGTTAATATCTGCGTAGTTCATATCTGTATTTTTTGCTTTTTGGATTTATTTGGGAACACTAACAAACAAAACACAAAACACTTCAAATAGTGATTTTCTTCTCTTGTAGACCCACTGTTATTTTTAGTGTATACAACTGAAAAAAGCAGAAGCAGAGGGAGTGTGAACAGGCCACATCCTGTGCCCCTGAAGGATCTCAGTAGTGCATAAAGTCACTGTCAGCCCCCTACTAAAGCGGCTGCTGAGGACTACCCTAACAGCAAACACTGAGCAGGTTTAAAATTGTTCCTGGCCTTTTCCTGCACTAGTTAGGAACTCCGTGCCAAACATGAGCTTAGCAGCTAAGGATTGCATCCTCTAACAAAAATATATCTCAGGCATGGAGGTGAAATTCAGGTATATGTGAAGGACTTGCACATGGACCTTCTTCCTCTTACACTATGTGCTGCTCGCACAGCAGTCACCCCAAACAAAAGTAATACTGTAGGTGTTTCAGAGGTGGTTCCCCAAGTAGTTGTTAGTGGAGGATATATTTTGGAGCAAAATACTCAAGAACTTACGCAACATTATTGGCAAATTGTGTAGCTGGCATCTGGAAAATACCTTTTTGTATGCTAAGGTGTTCCATTCTAATCAAAATGAAACTAACCTACAGTGAAAAATAGCAAAGAGAGACCAATTTGCACATACCCTGATCAATAGAACATGGTAATAGTCTGGTTAGTGTATTTAAAGATCCAGTCTTGAAATGAGTGGCAAAATGCTCATTATAGCTAATAGAAGAAGAATTGGACCATTTTTTTTCCCCATCTGTTAAATCATGCAAAACACTTACATTTGCAAGTTTTACCATTTCCCTCCATCCCAGGGGGGCAAATCCCACATATATATGATCCAAAGGTGTTCATACAAAACACTCCAGGAAAACAAACGTTCTCTTCACATTCATTCCTGTCTTCTTGACAAGTAAGCCCTGTGGCAAAAACAAAGAGGAGGTAAATAATCGGGAAAGATTCCCTGTTTATTCCTCAGCTCAAATGTTCAAGCAGATTGAGGTTTACCCCTCAACTGCAAGCTCATTACAGGGTATATCATTCATGTTAGTGCCACATTCCCCACAGTCTCCCTTAAACCTGGTTTTATCTCACTGTTTATTACTGTCATTATTGGCACCAGAAGTGTTGAACTTGAGACTACTGCTCATAGAAAACTATGCATATTAAAGAAATGATTTCCCCTGCATTTCACATCTTCACTGCTACTTTTGTTTTATTGTTTATGTGAGAATTTTGTCATACACTTCAAGAGCCAATGTCACCATTTTGGCTTTAGGAGATTGAGAGCTGTGTACTGGCATTCTGTGCTTCTCATTTCTGTGCTCATTTCTAGCAGTTTATTGTATGCCAACCTGATTGATAGAGTCTAGTAAATTTTACCGAATAGTCTGATTCTTAAAAGTAAGATTTTCCTATTTAAAATCAAAATTTGGAGAACCATTCTGAAAATACCTTTAATCCACAGTGCTTGTGTTCAAAAGATAAGCTACTATAGAATTTGAATCCAAAACAAAATGTCTGGGCTATTACTGATTTTGGAAATAGGCTTTTAAAAAATTCCTTGAAGTAACTGATATTCAAACTTACAACTCTGGATGATATGGATGGCAAGCTGACCCAACAGTTAAAATGACTATCTGGTCAGCAAGTGATATAGAGAAATCAAATACAGTGTTGTTAAATGCTCCCTCAGGCTTCAGATATGCCTGCTGCTGTCTCTGTGCATTTGAGAAAACTTGCCTGGCTCTCACTGATTACCAGAATACGCAGTCCTGATAGCAGTTCTTAAACTAGCCCATACCACTTCTATTAAGGCATGCTCTTTATCCCTTGCAGGCATACATGAGGAGACTGGGACACTTGCTGGAAAGTCCAGGCACCTGTTTCAAGGCATAACGTAAGGTAGGGAGGGAATGACTTGTTGCATATCAGACATTCAGCCTTATCGTGAAAGAAAATTTAGGGAGAGAAGAATATTTTTTCTTCAAAGTAGAGATTTATTACAGAATGATGAAATGATTATTATTCATCTCCTACAACATCAGCTTCTTTCAGTGCTTCAGCATCTCAGATAGATAACTTCCACTTGTCCTTTTGGGTTAAAATAGCATCTCCGTATAAGAAACTCAAAGCTAAATCTCTCTTGATTGAGCTGTCTTAGAAAAACTAGTGCCTTCACCTTCTCATGCCTGTTTTGTCCTGTGAAAAAAGAAAGAACAGCAGAACAAAAGCTGTGGCCCTTTTCTGGTGCCATCTCAGGCTAGGTTGTCCTGGTTAAGCCGCCTTCTTGCTTACGAAAGTGTCCCTTCTTGTTTCACGTAAGTTAAACATCAGCTAGGATTGCAGGGATTATCTATCTTTCTTTCCACTTGTTACACTTTTGGGTTACTAGTTCTGTTGTATAATTTAATTAGCACATTTATAAGATCAGGCTGCTTCTCTGATAAAATTTTCTGATGACACATTGGGAAATCAATAGACATCACATTATAGCAATATTTATGTGAATTACCCTCTGATTAGATTCGTGATTATTTTCTTTCTCTGAGTATTATGTAAAGACTAAACATGATACCACAGACAATGAAAGTAGGAATGAAGTGCCATGTTGGAGTAACAACAGCCTCCTCGCTCCCCTCTCCTCCCTCCTACACACTCTCTGTTTTACAGGGGGCTATCTTTAAAATCTCAAAGATGAGAGAATTACAAAAAGGCAAAGGACCATCATAAATATGAAGCTAAATAAAAAAATCCACTCATCTGACTTTTGTAACATAAAGGTGGAAATATGTAAGCACTTAATTTCAGTCTTAAAGAGATTTAATTGAAAACAATATTTGATCAATTTTGGCATAATTGTAATCCAGCAGAGGCTGAGGACAGATATTTGGAAAGTCTGAAACTAGACTGAAGGATGCTGAAGAAGCCGCGAAAATGTGTAGAAAGCAGTCTGCAACAAGAAGTGTGAATTACTATGTTTGCATGACCTCCAGTGCACTGCAGCACAAGGGAGTCTTAATTCTCTTGGCATTGCTACAATACAAATAAAAATAATAGGAAAAAAGATCTTCAGGTTTCTAGGTTGAAACATCTGTTTCTGTGCCAGCTCTATTTCCTTGTCTCTGCATGGGAAGTTGGCTGAGAAGATGAAGTCCTTTTATGCCTAGAGAGGAACTGACTATTGGTAGATGCAGAAAACAACTTTTTGACTGTGTTCACATTAAGTTGACTCTAAAACAAACTGTACCTAAGTTTGAATCCCATTGAGGGATTTATGGTTTCTATATACTATGAACAAATCTTGATTTGTTTGGTTTCCTGCAAAGTAAAATGAAATTATAGCCCCTTCCTTTTTCCCCCATGATTTTATATTAAATGCATCCATGATGAAAAAAAGAATGAGTTTGTGATTAAGATACAGTTTTCAAGGATGAGTTCTGTGCTCAAGCAGATGGTATTCTTGCTTTCAGTGGCCATAAAGAAGAAACAATAGAAATTTTCATTAATAGCGTTGAAGGAGAATGAATGAAGCTTTGAACACACAATGAAATAAACATGTAGAAATCTCTACAGAAATTCAAAGTATTAATAAATCTGGAGTCATCATTCTCTCTGATTTTCCAATGGCTTTTGTCCCTGCGTTGTTCCCATTCATACATTATATACTTATATTCCCTGAGATACTCCGATGCACTTGGATTGCTACTATTTAGCAACACATTGTGTTCCCTGTGTTTCTTCTCTTGCAATGGTGTTTGGGAAGCTCTCAGAAGAGTTAATGTTTTTTTTTTTCCTACTATGTGTTCACTACCATTGGTAAAGATTTGATGCTGAAATGGTGTTGTCACTTGAGCAGTATAGTATTGCCTTCTCATTAGACTATTGATGGTTTTCTGGGGAATTGAGACATAAACACAACATCAAAGATGAGCTTTTATTCTCACAGAACTTGCCCTGAAGTAAAATCATCTACCTCCCAGCTGGCTTTCAGCTCCACTTGCTTATAATTTTTCACCTACTATTAAAACTTTGAGAGGTATTCCTGTTTCCGTCAATCATATCTTTATTTTGTTGTTGTTTATTTTGTTGTTTTGTATTTTAGTATTTTGGACCAGGGAAGCACAGCAAAAAGAATACACATTTATTTAAATTTGACAAGAAATAAAGGGATCAGGAAAACCTATTTTTGGGGGGGTTGTCAAGATATCCTACACCCTTATCTTCAGAGTCATATTTGTAGCTGTATGTTACTTTAAAATATGTTATTTTTAAGTGTTGGCTATTTCATTCTCTACTGTTCTTTTAAGAATGAGAACCACATTTCTGAAAATGTCCATGTGAATTTATAAACAATGCATTGTAATTACAGTTGTTTTCAGCTTGATTTCAGTCCATCTCTATGCAGTTCTGCAGAAACTGAGAAAAAGGGCAGCAGCATGAAACTGACAGAGAAGATCAAGCAACAGTAGCAGATCCACCGAAAATATTAATCCATGGAATTATATTGCTTTCTATTCATTTAATCCACCTCCTTGTAGGCAATGAAGAATTATTCCTCATTGTCCAAATGTTTAATCAAGAACATCCTAAAAGATTCCCACATTTCCCTGTTCTCATAGGAACGTTATTTCTGGGAAATTCAAGACAATGAAGTTCTACATAAGTGTGGGTTTTTTTTGGGATGTTTATATTTTGATCAAACTTTCTGTTTCTAAGTTTTTAAACTTAGAAACTAATTTTAAACTTAAATATTTCTCGATCCTTAGAATCTCTTGTGGCATGTACCACTCTGGATACTAGCACCCTTTTGTTGTGTGCAGAATTACTGAGAGTCTATACCATCTAGGTACCATGTAGGTCTTTTGGACCGTGTTTCTGAATTCTCAATTCCCAATCATTTTTACTTTTAATTTCTGCTGGAATTCTACAGGTAATGAAATCTAAAGTAGTTATCCCATCTGACAGAACAAAAAAGGTTTCAGGAATTGCTGAAGGAGAGAGAGGCTATTTTTTTCCTATATAACCCCACTGAGTAAAAGTTGTTCATTGTTTTTTGTTTAAAATTGAAGTTCTTGCATATATGCAGTATATGCAGCAATAGTTCTGTGCGTCTGAGGCGACTTCTCGCTTTTTCAAAGTTATAGCAGCATACAGCAGCAAATGTTACGGGTCTCATGAATTCAGGTGTGCTTTCATATGGTAGGGTTTTTTCAGTAGGTTCAGGTACTGAAATCTGAGCTCAGCTTAAGTTATTGAGTTTTATGGGCTTTTTCCTTAACTTTTACTTTGAAATGATTGCGATCCAAGATATATTTTAACACAGTTTCAGTTAGCACCTTTCACTCTGGGAAGACTGATTTGGATCTGACGTGAATGGATAGTAACACAATGTCATTACTTTCTAGTGACTGTTCAGTGGCCTTGTTCGAATGAATGGCTTTTGTTTTAAGTGGCGCTGATGTTAGCAGCCCTGGCAGAAAGGCGGAGGAAGGAATGAGGATGCGTGCTGGATATAATGTCAAACTCAGACTAAGTATAAAGCTGATGTTTGCCTTCCTTCCATTTTAGCTCCCGCTTGACGTACAAATTTCTGGCTTACTGTTAACAATAGGGGACCCTGAATAGACTACTATACCAATGAAACATAATTGCTTCAAAGGAAAAGGTGATATCAGTGACTGTCAAGATGGAGCCATTATTCAAGGTGATCATGCAATTTGATTGGAAAGCTGTGAACAGCTAGAAGCCTACTTAGGCAGTCTTCAGCAGATGAAGTCTGATGAAGTAAGCATAGCCCTACATACACATTGACATTGGGAACTGAGCTAAGCTACTCGCACACACTGACAATATAAATTGCATGAAAGTTGCATGCAGTCTCTTTCTCTTGATGCTTCCAATTTTTATGCTATTCTTGATTACACTGTATCTTGCATCCAGCTCTCTTATCTTCACTGCATTTTGTTCTCTAACTCTTCTTCTTCTTGCTTTTCATTTTGCATTCCTTGACAAATCTTTTGGTGCAGTGATCATCCCTCTTCCTTGCATCTCTTAATACTGTGGTCAGCCTTGTCACTCTTATGTGTCTGACAACTCAATGGTCTTGTACTTTTCTAAGGCTTAAACTTAATGAAGATTCAAGGAGGACTAAATGACAGTTTATTTTTACATATATTCCATATCTACCTCTCCTTTCTATACCTGCAAAAATCATTCATTTCCAGTTTGGTTCCTTGGCTTAGTTTAGTAAAATCCATTGGAGCGCAAGAGTATCCTGGAACTTCCCTCTTTCCTCTTCTACTCAGTTTTCTCCTGGCTCATCTCATCAATGGGCAACTGGGAAATGAGCAGGTAGCAACTGAGATCAGAGTGGTTCACAGCATCCTTGAATGGTCGTTTCAGGATCATAGGACTCTAGGTCAATTTTTCTTCCTTGAGCATGGATAGTTAAATAGCTGTTTTTACACATCGTCCCTCTGTTTAAAGCTAAGGCATGGGAGCAGAAAGGGAGATGTATATAGCCCATTTGACAGATGCTTGTGGTCATGCTGCACTCTAAAAAACCTGAAGCACAATCTCCGGTTAAATTAGAGATGGAAACAGTGATATGTTACCTTCCAAACCAGGGGGACATTTACAGATGTAGCTGTCCACACTGTCCACACATGTTCCACTTCCGCATGGGTTTGATTTGCAGTCATTAATATCTTCCTGGCAAAATTTTCCATCAAATCCGTTTGGACATAAGCACAGATATTCACCAAGGCCTGGAGGGAATTTGATATTGGTAACACATATTCCACCATTGATGCAGCTGCAGGGCTTCACTAGAACCTGAGGAGGGCAAAATGGAGTCGTAGTAAGATTTTTCTGAATAATCACAGTTGAGAGTTATTTTGTTACCCTTTAGGGAAGGACAGATTTACAGTACAAATACATTATACAGTATTACAAAAACTTAATTCTAACCAATTTCCTTTGTCTAGATAGATGATCTCACACTCAGCATACTTACTGTGACTGAAAGCTTGACTTTAAAGGGATTTCTTTTTATCATTTATGGGCACATTCTAACTTCTTGCAAGAAAAAAAAATTCCTATGTGCTATAATAGCAATTGCTACACGGTATCTGAGGGCAGGATTTGTTCCTTATTCTTCAAAGAAGAAATGAGAAAACTCTTCTCTTTGCTTGCCTGCATATCCTCCTTACTGTTTTTGCCATTACAGATGGCTCCCAGACAGGAACATGACTGTGGCATTCCTTAGCTAGTCTCTGTTTCAAGGAAGAGGTCTGTAGTTATGTTACCTATTAACAAGGACAGCATTTCAACAGATTTGAATATCTGCATTATTGCATCACATTAAACATAGATCTAGCTTGAAATCTTCCCATTACAATGATATCTAGACTCTGGTTTCTCCTTTGCTGTGTGGGTTCAGCAGATTGGTATTTTTGATGACAGTTGTTTGAAGAGTAAAGATTTGAATCTTTAGCAAAAAATACTACTTTTCCTCACAAAAATGCTCTTGTGTCAAGAGACTGCATCCCACTTTATTAGCTCGTGCTATCACAGGATTAATGCTAGGCTATACAATAAAGACAAAGCAATGCACAGGCTCTGCCAAGAAACTTAAACTGCGGAGTAATGATATAAGAGCAAGGCACCCTCTAAAAATATCATTGAGAATGAGTTATAATCTCCCTTTTATAGCTAAAACTTGGTCTTTTATGTTATATGCTTTTTTGTACAATCCAAATGCAGAATGTGAATTTTAAAGCAGATTAATGAACCATTAACAGGCTCTGCAACAGTGTTCTTTCAAACAGCAATCAATAGCACTCTCTCTTGTTTGCTGCATATATAGTTTCTATCTTCTCAGAGATACTTATTCCATTAATTGATCATTATTGCTATGCTGGGTAATATACATTTACAAGGAAATAGCTGAAGTCTTAGTTTTTAAGACAGTAACGAATTATGAACTCTAGTGACAATTGCACTAAAGCGATGACATGATAAACAGGTTTGTTTTGTTTTTTGGTTTAAAGCGTTCATTTTCTTACCTCAATAGAGTATCTGCTCTGTGCATTGCATTCATCTGACACAGTGAATTCAAAGGTCTGCATTTTTTCTGAATCAACTTTCCAGATGAGAAGGCCAGCAGGAGAGAGCCTGGCATCCTGAGGCCCAGCCTCTAAGATGAATAGCACAGCTGACCCTTCCGGATCCACTGCTATTAGCTGGTAAACAAAATTCTCACCAATAAACGTCAATAGCTGGCTGGAGGGGGCTTGGAACACAGGAGGTAGGTTGTCTAAACAGCAAAAACGAAGCCATGATTACATAAATTCAAGTTTCTCCCTTGTAAACATTCACAATGCAGGTCTTCGTAGGAGTGTTCTTAATGAAAAAGGTACAGAAATATCCTGAGACTGATGGAGGAAGTAATTTAGATGTTAGAGGCTGCAAATAGCTTTACCAGAAACTGTAGTTTCTTCCTCCTGTTTTTCTCCTCTCCCATATTGAGCTTCTCTCCTGTAGTGAACTTTACTTTTGATGTGTTTCTGATACATGAGAGAAGAGCGGACATGACTTCCATAACCTCCCACTAGTCTGCCTCCCCTCATTCTTACTAAAACATTAATTGCATCTCTAATAGTTATATGTGTAAGTTTATTCTGTCTACCACTCAATTTATCTGTCTATCTAGAAGTAAGTAAATAATTCTCAAAATGATGAATGAGAAATGAGTTGGGTGGGCAACTCAGGGGGAAAAGAAGTAAGTTACGTAACTGTTCCGTTGAGTAGATTCTACTGTCACACAGGGGTAGTAGTTAAGCCAGAGCAGTTTGACTGAATTCAGTCAGACACTTCAGGAATGAAGATCTTCTCAGTGCCAGTACAGGTACGTCAGTGATGCAGGGACTGTAGTGCATATCCTGTCACTATTGTCATTGTTATTCTTAGTGGTGGTGGTGTTTATATTCATTATTTCCTTAATGAAGATGAAAGCCCAATTGTACTTGGCTTTTTTATAGTAAAGACAAACGCTGCCTGAAGACACTTAAAATATAAATAGCTAAGGAAGACAAAGTGGAGAAAAGAAGTATTACATTTTAAAATTAAAGAAAGATCAGTTGAGTACCCTGAGGAGATAACAGCTCTGTGCAGGGCTGGGAATTTCATCTCAGTGACTTAAACCTCCTCAGTCTCAAGCCATCTTTCCGTTCTTTAACCATCAGTACAAATTAACATGTATTGATATTTTAAGGAATCTTCTCATAGAACATAATCATCCATAATTTTGTTTAACTTAAACCTTTTTACTTCCAAGGATTAATTTCAAGCCATACTCTAAAACTATGAACAATATATGTGTTCTCATAAAGACTGCGTGTGTCTTTGCAATATGCTTTTGGGAAGTTATCATTAGAGTTTTTTTGTGCATGCATATCCATTTCTCAGGTTTTGCTTTCCATAGCTTGTCTCACATTATGCAGTTATTTATATGTGTCTCTCTACTCATTGCTGCTGGGCTATCAGAGCTTTCGAAACTGCTTGTCCAGCAGATTGTCACGGCGTAACTGCTGAAAGCTTCCATCTATTAATTTACCTGTTACTTCACAAACACTCAAACCGTGGAGCCCATAAAGCTTGTGCCAAAAGTAATCAATGAAGTGTTCAGTGGGTATGCATTTACAGATAAACGCAAAGGTGTTAACGGGATGGAGGATTACAAGGAGTTATAGGCACAAAAGAACATAAAATGAGATGCTCTTAAAGCAGTCTGTGAACAAGAGTGTTTTTAATTACTCTTGAGGTGTTCTTTGCATTCAGGGAATATATACGGACTCACAGTTGCTGCACTACTTTTAAAAGGTTCTCACAGTTTTGAAAACAAGTCTGATGAACCCTTTCACTTTGGTATTTTAAAATTTTGAAATTATTGAAATCTGAACCATAATTTGTTCCAGATTGTCTAAATCATTTCTAGCCTTATGGAATTTCAAACAAAATGCAGTTTTTGTCTTTTAAGTCATTTTCTGACCTTTAAGATGAAACTGTCTCAGTATTAGTAACAAGTCTGTCTGTCTGTATAACAATAAGGATCAGCTCATCCTCAGAGATAATACTGCTGTGGCCAATACAATACAAGGATATTGTGAGTCAGAGAGGAAATCTCTCATTAAACTGGACTACGTCCTTAGAGGAAAAAAACACATACTTTCAGGCACTGAAACTCTTCAGGACTGACTTACCCTTAGACATTTTAACTACTCATCCAAGTAAAATGCAATGATATTCTTAGCTAACCAAAGCTTGCGATGGATCTGCCTAGACCTTTTTCCAACAGTGGGTTTTAAATTCTGAAAGCCAGATTTTTTAGGACATAAATTAGACATTTATGTTTTGAAATAAAGAAATTTCAAAATGACTAAGTCGGAACAGAAATAAAAAGGACTCATGAACAGCTCTCTCCCTTCCCATCGTGCTGCTGTTTCCTAGCCTAGTTTCAGGCAACTTTTGACTTTGTGTGTTAGTGTCAATTGTCTTTTGGGTCCTTTCTGGTCCTTCTCAAGTGTCTTTCTATCACCTCTTAGACTGAGTGTGCCTGCTCACTGCTTCTCTCCATGGTGTCTCCACTTGAGCTATAGATTCCAGCCACTGTGTTACAGCTCTCTTGTTGTTTCTTCTCCTATACATTGCACTCTCTAAAAGCCTCTCTCCCTGAGCATTCCCAGTTTTTCCCCAAGGAAAAGAGCAGTCTTCCTCTCCTTCCAGAAGGGTCCTGCTGACCTAGTCACTCGAAAGGAATATAAAACTGTGAACAAGCAAAGCAAACAGGTCCTGTCATTCCCTCTATACCTCTGTGCATTTTACTTCTATTTACAGGACCTAAAAGCACAGAAAAACTCTCTCTAGAATCAACACATGAATATTTACGTAATAGCCGTGTTATAATCTTTATACTGACCAGATATAAATGTTCTCACATGTGTGGGGAGGCGCACTGTGAAGATAATGCTGCTAGAAACATGGATTATCTGTAAAACAAGCTGTAAATAATGGCTGTTGTTTACATTGGGGATGTAGCCATAAAAAAGGTTTGCTTATGGCCTTAGCATTCAGGAGGTGCTTCAAAAGGCAGGCTTCTCCGCCACTCCTGGCGTGAAGGGCTGCAGAAAGATCCTTTAGGTTTTGTAGCAATCAATGTAATGATTGGCTGATTCTTATCACTTGGACTCCCTGCCAAGCCAAGACCTTTTATGCAGCACGTCTTAGAATTTGGGTCAGGGAAAGACAATAATTCTTTCAGATACCCAAAACATAAATTAGTGTTTTAAAAGCAGTGTTTTCCCCAAATTGTTCCCTTACCTGCAATATGATCAGAGCTGTATTTAGGGTCCATCAACCTTGAGCTGACAGATATGGGCCCTGCATAGGGCATTGGCATGTGAAAATTTTCTTTTTAAGATGTAACTTTGGTTTTATTAATTCAAAGTTTATCAGGTTTCAGCCGGAACAAGATATGTGCCCCAGGTGCATAGTGCACATGGTGCAGTACTTCTTCCTTCTGTTTAATCTGTATTTCTGGGGCACCCAATTATTCCCGCTAGAAACAGTCATACACACACAGTGTGTAGGATAGGTCCGTGCTAGCCACATGAAGGAACTGTGTATTTCACAGGCTGAGTACTAAATCTCCAGCTAAGTGCTTCCAAATCTTAGAAAAAGCTATCTTACTTTCATTAATAGACCAGGCGAACTTAGAAACGTCAGGTTCACAGAGAAGACAAGGACTGGTAGGGCTTGACTCCCCTTCACCATAGCAAAGTCCATCTATATTACAAGTGTTTTCCTGCCAAAAAAAGGAAATAAAAATGAGTGGGAGGTGCAGGCAAGGAAAAAAGAAATAAGAAAGATAAGAAATTAGAAGTTAATAATAGCTGGAGATGAGCAGGAACTCGCTTGTCTCTTGAAACAATGAAATAGTAGCAGTTTAAATGCTAGCATTTTCTCTCAGGGAGAAGACAAGAGACGGAAGATGTCGCATTGATGAAACGTAAGAGTTTTCCAGTTTCAGTGTGAGATCCTTGTAGCTGTGAGTGTTTTATCTTAGGCTACTTGGAGCGTTGCTTGTCAGTATGTCAAAGAACATACATTTTTTTCATTTCAACACTTAAGCAGTGTATGTGATTGTTACTACCAGCTGTGACTACTAATGTGATTATTCAGTAACACTCAAAAATAAGCTTCATGAGATTAACAAAAACTGAGATTGGCTGAAAGCTCTGTTTGAAATTTTGGAATTCTCTTCCTATAACAAAATTATTGCTGGAGGCTTTTCAAAATACAAAAAAGCAATGAGATAAAAGCAGAGTAAAGAACTGTATTTGATTTTAGGCTTCCATAAGATTATCATGAGCAATGGCTAAACATTGATGGTGCTGTTGGAGAGTTATGCCTTTCTCTTGTGTTGGGGCACATGGGCAGATGGGACTTCATCTGGCATTGCAGCTTGCTGAGAAACATGGAAACTAGGAAGGCAGGTGATGTCTCTGCTGTAGCGGGACAGCAGGAGAGAGAAGCTACTGGGGCCTAAAGTCATCTTGCCTTTTTCCTCCCTTGAGTAGATACTAATTTCAAGTGAAATCCCACAACCATTGGAGAGCTCATACAGCTCCCTTGAAATATCAGATTGCTTGAATTTCTCTACTATTGGTAGATAAAATAGCTATACTAAAATTAGCACAAATCTACCTACTTGCGCTGTAATCAAACTCTGGCTGCAGAGTACATATATTCACAGACTCCCAGCCTAGACATAAGGCTGCCTTCTGCTTCCTTGATCCTACTGAAGCCTAAAAGATTTTTCCGAGACTGACTTGTGCACTGAATCTTGTGGTTTCTAAGTACTGTTTTATTAGTTTCTCAAGCTTCTTTTGCAATGTATGTTAGGTAATATTTGAAATTATACCATCTTAAGAGTACTGGCTAAGGTAAAGAAACAAAAAGGACTTTCATAATTGTCCCCAAATGATAGACCACCACAGATCTTCAATATTAAAATTTGGATGTTAATTAGATTTTATTACGCTGTTGTTTTCAAAGGAGCTAGGCTTTGTTCTGATAAAAAAAAAGATGCTTTTTTTCTGATCTGATAATGTGGTAGAGAATGGGCCCCATAAAAGAGGAACACAAACTGTGAAATGGCCTGATATAAAATATCCTCTAATTGAAACACCTTTTCTGAACACAATTTAGGCATTACAAAGTAATGTTATAAGAGGGGTAATTAGACTGTGGTTTGATGCAACTGGAAGCCTAGTTCAAATAGACCCTTGAAGCGTCTTAGAAGTTATTGTAATCCCTAGAGAACACCAGCATAGTGAGAAAACATATATGTTTCTGAGTTTTGAAAATGTAAGAATAAGAAAAGCCTTTGACAAAAAAACCCCCAAAACTAGCTTTAATAGAGATAGTTATATGACATAATTATTTTAATCTGAAATTTAGGTGGTTTGGCCCTCGTTTGGGCCTGTGCAATAATTTCTATTCACTGACTTACTTGAAAAAAATGTGAATTTTCATTTTGTTTGGCAACTAGTATGTTACTGCAGTCAGTGCAACTTGGAAAACTATTTTTTCCTGTTAGTGTTAATGAGGACAGTGAGGCAAATGAGTTAGATATACCTGATTAATCTTTATTTTCTAAAAATGAAAACGGATGCTCTCTATTTGTATTTGCCTCAGGGTAGGAAAGCAGGAAAGGAATGGGGCATTAAAGTGTTCTCACCCAACAGCCGTTAAAAGTATGCTGTAAACCCCACTCAAAAATAGTGTAGTTGTGTAATACAGTCCTCTAGAAAATAAGGGGAGTTTTTTAGGAAAAGGGGATGTTACACTAATATGTCAGTTATTAGAGTATGCGAGGAAACAGAGAGATACAGTATTCTCCAGGCACTTAACTAGCATGTTGGCAGTTTAAAATGCAGCACTAGGCTTTGGTTACAGTTTTGAATCTGTCGTAGTACTATGCATTTGTACTTAGCAGTATTTAATGTAAGCAAGAGTGTTTATATGGCCTCAAGAGTATTTTCACCTGACAAAAGTTGTGTAGCATGCATCTTAGTATACCTCTTGCTAAGGCAGGAAACAGGTATAGAAATGATGTACCTTACAGTTACAGTACTTTCTCAAACAGACTAAGAATTCCCTGAAAGGTAAAATAGCTTACTAGCAGAGACACTTCAAAAGTGAAGGTAAGCTACCTTTCAGGAGAGAATCCTCAGTCCTATTTACTTCCATTAATATTTTCAAGTATAAATTTTATCAACCATGTTCTTCCTGGAAATGTCAGTCTAATAAAAGTCCATTATAAAGCGTACTTTATCAGGTACTCATACCACACAGAAAAAATAATAAAAAATGCAGAGAGGAAATTGTGAAAGAGAGAAAAGAAAAGTATTAGATCATGCAGCTGACCTATGAAATAGATTTTCCTCTTCTGGAATAGGTGCTGTGCACAGTACATCAAAGGGAGGTAGAGGGCTAAGGAAAAGATGAATGATCCATATTAAACCTTTATGCTCTTTCAATTACCTTTAATTTACAAAGTCCGGTTGGATGGAATTCACAGGCCTGGCAGACTGCATCATACAGGGTCAGAACTTTGGAATTACTGTACTGGAAGCCATCATTAGTGATCTAAATGATATAAAAATCATCCTTATAAGTAATAATGTTCTATATGGAGACTGTCTGCTCATTTTGGAGCATATACCATTGCACCCTTGCACTGGATGCTTGCCAGCAAGATAAATTAAACCACTTGTGAGTTGCTCTGCTGCAAGCTAACAAATTGCTTGATGTTCCAAACTGGAAACTATTCATTAGTAACCAGAAGATCTTTTGGCTCAGCTGACATTCAAATTTTCTGATTGCAGTTAGGCTTATTGAATAGTCCCAGCTTAAAAACACTTTCAGTAGACAAAATCAGTATGTTTTTCAATAACACATGGTATCTGGGACCATACGTGCCATAACCAAATATGTGTGTCAAACAGATACCCTTACGGAGACAGCATAGCTAATCAAGTTCTGCAAGGAGGTCTTTCTAGTTCTGACATGAAATTAAGATTTTTGGCAGAAAGTCAGGACCACTTTGCTACTAAGAATAAAGCAGTTTGTTTTTTCTTCCTTGAAGAAAAAGAGAGAATGCATTTATTTAGGTGGTTTTAAACTAGCCTCAAAAAAGTACTGCTGTGGATAAAACTAGACAGCAGAAGTTCTGTTTCCACAGGAAGGTAGGTTAGTCCAGTCCCAGCTTACACTTTTCTGTAATGTAGAATGGCTCCATCTAGAATTAAGGCCTCAAAAATGCCCTTTTAACTATATGATGCTTACACAATCAGACAGGGCTACACAGTTCTGTATGTTAATTTTCTACAGTAAAAATGAAAGGATACCAGAGAAGTATGGAGAAGTGTTAAGCCTTTGGGAAAGCGTTGTCACACCTCTTGAAACGAAATACGTGAACGTTAAAGAGCATTCTAATGCAAAAATATTCCTGAAAACCGTCCTGTAAACACTGTTAAACACCAGTAAGAAAGCACAGCCCTTTCTGTCAGCTGTTCTATAGGTTTCAGCTTCTCACAGTCCAGGTAAAGAAGCTGTTGATCAGCTTTGCTGAGCGCAGGCTGAGGCCTGAGTTGCCTTGGCGTTGTCCAATACCTGTTCTGTTCTTACTATAACCAAATCCTCTTTCTTTTCTTCTGTGGACCCTAAGTCGAAACCTCCTCAGTTCCTGTAGGTCCTCTGCGGAGCAGTAGCCCCAGAGTAGCCCACGCGTTTTCCTCCCCTCGCACAGCGATACCGTCCCGCCTGAGGGCCTGCCTCCGCAGAGCGCTGCCTGCGTAGCTCCCGTGCATGTGCTGCCTGGTCACCAGCTGCAGCTTCCCCGAGCAGGGGAAGGACCGTGGTTCCGACAGGGAAGATAGTACTAGTCTCTTCACTTCAGCCCTTCTGATTTTCATGACATTTGTAAGAATTTAACGTCTCTGAGATGCAGGTCTCTCACTAATTTGAACATATTTGCAAAGGTTACCTGGGGGAGTGATGGACAGGCAGATAGCACAGAAACCACAGCTGTAGGAAAGAAGGCAGAAACCAGAGGATTTAAGAAGCTTGCTAAAACCAAAAGGCTAACGTAGGCAAAGCTCAAAAGGAGAATCGCGTTTACGTTTCCTCATTAGTAACAGGGTCAAGAGTATAATGTTTTCTGATCAATTCATAAACTATTTCAGTAAGAGTGAATGTATGTTAAAATTGTGTAAAGATTAACTAGAAGTGCATAGAATAGAAATTACTTTAATAAATTGCATAAAATGCATAAATGCATAATACTTTAATAAATTACCATAAGCTCACTAAGACTAATATAAAAGCTTGTGGAGCATAATACAGTAGATACTCCCACAATATCACACGCGATTGTCCTCAGTTCAAAATGCACTGCTAGCTAAGTGCATTCGTTTCTGCAGAAACAAATATAAGTAGATAAACAGAAAATATTGCTGGGCATTTATAATTTGAAATTCTGAAGTAGATAACAACTCCTTTGAACTTTCTTAAATTGAAGTAAAAGTCATTGGTATAGCTTTAAGGAAAAGCATAATTTTTTCCATGACATCATACCCAGTCAAGGTGTTATACTATTATATGTTATAGTAAATGGAAGAACTCTTTTAAAAAGAAGTTATCATCCAGTCCTAAAGGAGAAAAAGAAAAATACACCAAATACCCTAAAACCCATGTCCCAGAAACCTGCACTTCATTGAAAGACAGTGCTCATGTGCAGTAAGATTTCTGTTAAGAACATATCATCCTTGATGCAGTTCACATTTGATTTCGTTCTTTTATCAGAGTTTCCAATTTTTTCCTCAATACCAGTACCCTAGCAATGGGTAGATGCTAAAGAAATGAATAAACAGAGAAAAATATAAAGAGTTATAAAATTGCACTAATTTTTCTGTTTAAAGTGAGCGTTGTGAATGAAATGTATCTCTTTCCAATTTTTTCTTGCTGTAATTTTTCAGCACACTATTAGAAACTTCCACTTCAGTGACCTTTTAGAATTAGATTGTTTTATTTTTATTTTTCTTACTTTTCCATTAGTTGCCTTAGTGACGGGGCACAATATTTTCAAAAGCGGTGATCAGACCTAAGATGAGCAAACCTCTATTCAAAAGTCGATTGGCTCTTAAAAGCCTACGACCCACTAACAGTTGTGCCTTGATTGTCTGAACATACGTATCATCTGGCAAGAGCCTTCTGGACGAGCAGTCTAGATGGTGAGGAGCAGTCTGTCACTTCTGCCTCAAGTAAATGTCATTCATCACGAAACAATGTTGGCTATTTGTATCATTCAGAATATAAATAGAATTTGACTTGTATGAATGTTTATTAATGCAAGATGAAAGCTGTACAAACTTGCTGAATTCAAATTCAGTTTCTGCCTCGCTGACTTTTTAGCAAATATTGTTAAAACTCTTGACAAATACAGCCAATCATAATGAATTGAGGATAAACAAGAGACCTGCTTCCCAAGTTAGGTAAGTGCCTGCCCAGCTCTTTCACCTTTGTACCTAGGCATCTGCGTATGCACAGTCTAAGTCATCTGCTGCCCAAGGAGGACTTTGTATTTTGGTATCTAATCTAATTATATCAGACTTTGGTGTAGCCGCAGTACTTTCTTATCTACATTCAGCAGTACGTCATGGAAAAAAACGAGCAAAATGTGCTTGCTCTAGAGGGGATAAAATGAAAGAATACTGAGAAGAAGAGCTTGTGAACCCCCTGCCCCCCAAACCTTGGTAGTGAAAAAAAAGTGAAAAAAGGCTTATGTGAAATTTTGCCGATTGCTCTGAATTTTGGTTTGGTGGGGGGAAAGGTTCTGAAAATATTGAACACTGATATTTTCAGAAAGAATTATTTTGATTTTGGGGTTTGGAAATTTTTTAGCTACATTTTTTAAAGTATCTATTAATATAACACAAAAAATAATGTTGAAGTAAGTCTTACTAGGAATTTTCCGTAGCGCAAAATTTTGAATATTTGTGGAATTCATTTCAAATCATTTTTGCTCTCTGTGCCACCATAGTCAGCTGCACTAATAATAAATAAATAAATACCTTTTTAAAGGAAATTCTGAACTTTTCCTTTCCAATTCATTCAGCAAAACTATCCACACGAGAAATACGATTAGCATGCAGCTGGCTACATCTGACTCGGATGTATTTAATTGCGTATTCACTGCGTTGCCATGAAGCAGATTTTTTCCATGGGGTTCAAAGGCGAGGGAAGGTGCGGAAGGCTTACAAGCACAGAGATTTCCTTGAGCTAAAGTGCAAGGAAAGATACATACTACACGTGTTTTGAGATGAAAAAATAAGACACAGTACAGACCTTCCCAGAGCTGACAGGCAGCACTTGAAAGCAAAATGAATCATAATACGCCCAAGCTACAAGGTAGCTCATTCTAGTTACCAGAGAAGAAATGGCCTCGTGCACATGCAAAGCTGTGCGCTCTTCTCTTGGGCCAGCGAAGCTCAAGGGTATCTCGTAACAGTTCGTCAGATCCTTCCATCCCGAGGTGGGATTTTGTATCTCCTCAGAGAAATGATGGGAACCGTAAGCGCAGGAGCTGCCCCTCAGGTCCTGCTCCATGCAGAAGGTGCGAGACCACCCCCTGGCAGCAGGCAGGCAGGCAGGCTCTGTGCCCACATTGATTTTATACTGGTCTCTTAAAACACAAATCCCCATCCGTCCATGTCCTGGACAGGGAGTGTGCCTCACCAAACATCTTTTTGTTTCCCCCACGCAGTGTGGCAGCACCTGTGCCCCAGTGTGGTCTGTATTACGAGCAGCTGAGGTTTGCAGCACAGGCAGTAACACTGGAGTGAAGCTAGTGTTTTACAGGTTTCGTTTTTCCATGCTACAGTTTTCAAACCACATCTGCAGTCTTTATACAACTGCAATATATTTTTCTCAGCTGTAGAGCGTTTAAATGATCTCAGTCTTAACAAAGCAGCCAGTCTGTGGAAAATAACCATCCAGGCTGAGGGCGAGACCAGGGGTAGCAGCAGCGCGCTCAGTAAGACACTGATTTCCTGTAAATATTTAGAAAGTGAGTCTCACTTTCTGGACAAAAGGGGCTAAAACGCAGCAGAGGCAGAACGCAGCACGAGCAGGAACCACACGAGCTTTTTCCTGTAGCCGTTCTCGTCTGTAGCTGTGAGAGCTGCGCTCGCTCAGCGCCAGCCGCTCGGGGAGCGCTGCCAGTCGCAGCGGGCCCGGTTTTCCACAGAGGCACTGCTGGCTTGCACTTGCTACCTAATCAGCGCTTGGAATTGGGGTTCCCAGAAATGAAATACTAATGACTAGCAATTGATTAGGCCAACTGCATCAATCTCAGGCGATTACCTGAAGAAGTGATTGTAATTTGCACTTTCAGATTGCCTATAAAGGCATCTGTTTTTAACTCCTGTTGTTTTGGTTTAGAGGGTTTTTTTTTTTGTTCACTACAGGACGTTAACGTAAGTATTTCTACGGGCATCTTCAATTCTGAAGGGAAGCAAATTGTGCTTTGCATTTTAATTTGCCATGACAACTGATTTGCTCCCTCTAAATCATTTCTTAGAAACATAAGAAATTCCTACTTTCACTTGCCATCTTGCGAACGGCTCGTCACCAGCCACAAAGTGCACAGCCTCTGTCTCTGTAGTGTTCAGAAGAGGAATCTGGCAGTCAACAGCCTTAGAGCTGAGAAAATCCGCTTTTGTGGTTTCTCGTTCTCCTGATATCCATTTGCCATTGAGATGCTACAGTAAAACAGAAGGAGAGCACAGAAACTAAAGGCTCATGTAAAGAAATTCCAGTAGTCAACAGATGTTCATATTTCTAATTAATAATATAAGGCACCTACAGATGGTTTGTTTTTTAAAAATGATGCTGTTACTGTAGGTACAGTACAGAGCAAGCTGTGCTCATTTAAGCGTACAAGTGGTCTATTGATTTAGGAAGGGCTACAATTTGTATTAAAGATGAGCAGCCAAGATGGGTACAGGGTAGCGCTGTGGAGCAGCTTTGTGTTTGCTGCAGCCAGCTGTACATTTTGTTGTTCCTTGCAGGTAATGTCTGCTACGTGTGTAGATGAGCTGCACAAAGCATCCTTGCTTATTTAGGGCCTACCAAGTCCTAAGTAGACATGGTAGGCAAATCTCAGTTGTTTCTTACTGGCATATTAACGGTGAGTGGGATTCAGGCTGAACTTCTTTTATGAAGTAGATTTATGAGCTGCATCCGACACTGTATGTTTGAGTATACTTACACCCGAATAATTCAAAATCTTAGGATTACCTGTGTGTAGTAGTTTATAAGAAAATTACAGTGTTACCCAACAAAATCATTTCAATATTCATTGCAACTTCTAACTTGGTATTGAACGATGACTAAGAAAATTCAAATAAGAGATTCAGTAACTGTGCTGAGGAAGCCTTATATTTAACTGCAACGCTTAGCATTCAAATGCGTTTAGGAAAACAACCATGCATGCAGATTCCAGATGCACAAAATGAGAAATAATATTGTGATTTCAGGCTTCACTGGACTACAGTGTAGCTGAACCAGACAAGAATTAAACAAACCCCCACAGGGAAAATTGGCAAGAATACATAGCTTTGCATTTTCTAGGAACCAATCCTGGAAAGGGCTGAGCCGCTTCAGCTCCTCTCGCTCATTGCAAACATATTGGCAATGGGATTCAAAGGTATTTGTACCCTGCTGCGACCATGAGAGATGATGGCATTCAGTACAGTTCAGGGTGGAAGACTTTAGTATAAACATGTCAAAGTTTTGACTGCGTCATCAATACTTTATGAACCCGCGGGAAGTTGCTTACAATTAATCTGGTGACCTTGCAGTGCAGGTTATGAGAATCTTTGAAACCGAGGCCAAACACCTGGATCCTGCTACAGTCAGAGACTCGGATATCGCAGAAGCCCCCGTTCTCTAAGCCTGTGATTTCCAAAGTTTGCTCTGGAGGGATGAGATAGATACAAAGCTTTAGAGAGTACAATGTATGTGCTCTTCCATTCTGGTTTATCAGAATTGTTGTTGTTGTTGTTGTTTCCTTTTCTTACAGTGGAGGTTTATTTTGTTTTAATTCTTTTTTATCGGTATTCCTTGCTCCCCTTGCTCCCCTGCAAGTTTCTCTTAAAAAGGGCAGCAGCAGTTACCAGGACAGAAAGCAGCAAACCTTCCATTGAATCATTCTCCTGCACCTACAGTATTGCCAGATTTACCAGTGAGTGTTACACAGCTCATGTAATTAATTAACTAGTGTTGAGGCTTTATGGTAAAAGGTTTTCAGAGGCAATACCTGCTTTTGCTGACCGAGTTTACAGCAAGGTCCAGAACATAGTTGTGGGATCACAGCTGAAAAGATGTGTCATGCCATAAGGTCAGAGGAGCGTGAAGGTGGGAAGTGAAAATATCTTAAGATGACAGTGCCACCAAACTCCTCATAATGTGAAACAGCACTGCAAAAAACGTTCCTTTTGTCAAAAAGCGTGGATGTAATGAAACTAATGGTCCTCCGAGGAATGTTTGCTTGTGAGGGTTAAGTCATTTATGGGTGACGCATCTCTGCACAGATTCAGCACAAATGCTGTGCACCACTTAAGTCCAAACCCTATTTTGAGGCCTTAAATAGAGCTTAAGTGATGTATAGCCTGTGCCGTCCTCCTTACAAGGTTGAATTTCACCCATTAATGTTTTAAAAATGCCTTATGAGTCTCAGGTAGAATTTCATTTTTCTGCCGTTGCACTTTAGCTGTTAAAATTGCCCTTTGCTATCATATTGGGATTATTTTTATAGAGTCAAAATGAAAGTTAGTTGCAGAATTCACATCTTTACTTTAGCAAAAATACAATTGGGCAGATCTTTGCATCAGCACAGGTACTTGGATAGCAACAGTCTATCAGAAGATCTCTCTAATATCCTCTGCCGTAACTGTAGTCAGTCAGGAGCATGCCTTCGTGTTTTCCTCGGCAGTGCTTATAGTTCTTATAGTCAGGAGAAGCCATTACGATTATCTGCCATATAATACAAAACAGAATATGCCCTTTTTGTTTCCTGGATGATACTTGTTAGAAGTGGGTTAACTGGGAGCCATAGGAGGCACATCATGCACCGGCATAATGTAGTGGAAGTTATTTTCCATGTTACACAGCGGAGGGAGGCTGCTTAGCTTCTCCTCTTTTGTGCCCTGTGGCTACTGCTGTGGCAAAGCAATATTGCCCATCGCTTTTCTCCGAGCTGTAGCTTATCTAAAACAGGAGCTCTGTGTTGCCTAGTATTTTAGTGGCACATTGATTCAGTTCGGATTTAAGGGGCAAAATGCTTCTAGCTGAGCTGATAACCTTCTGCAGTACCTAGCTGTTCCTTTAGGGCTCTGCCAGTTAAGCCGTAGCTAGGATGAAGGCTGTTCAAGCGTTGTGATCCCACCACATCACAGTCCGTAACAGCGTAGCTGCATAACACTCATTTTTCCAAAGAAAGGAAGGAAGGCAACATAAAAAATTGTGAAAAGACTTCTTTCTGTACTTCTGAGATGCTTTCAGTTTTTCTTTTTTTTTTTTTTGTTAAAGATTTTATTGCAGCAGTATTAGCAACACTACTGGGTACTTTTTTATATTTACAAGAGGAGGAGTGGTTTATGGCTTATCAGCATTCATCAGTTAGTTATGGATTCCTGTAATGTACAAACCTATTAGTCAGATGTAGCAAATGGTTTTGATAAATTGCCTTCTTCTGTGGTTAGTGCATTAGAAAAAAAATGCTTCATTATGTTTTTCATGAGATTTTAATAGTTACCCCCACTAGTACTGAGGTAGCTCAGATTGCATTAACATTTTCATCATCATTTCAGATTTTCAAGCTTCCGTCTGTGAAGAAAAATTTCATAACTTGGGGATGAGTGACAGAACAGAAATGTGTTTGTATATTCCTTTTTCAGGAGTATACTCTCGGGTTTGTTACTTGCCAATGAGGCCTGCATGCTTTCTGTAGGATTTGCGTACATCTCTGTGTACATTACAGCAATACTGTTGGGTCAGGGCCATAGCAAAATTATCCAGCCTGTCTGCTTTTTGAAGTGAGTTACAGTATCAGCATGGTATTTAGTATTTATTTTACTCGAAAAGTCCCATGCACACTTTTATACAGCATCTTTAAATTGGTTTAAATCTACTGAAAATATGTTCCCATATATATTTGGGTATCTTCTCTCAAGGCTTGCCACATTGTGTGTTAATGTTGTAATTAATGTAATATAATTAATTAATGATTCATTTTATTTTTAAATGGATACTGAAGTTCAGACTTTAGACCTCATATCCTATGGATAGTAAACAACTGGCTTCATTTTTGACATTGATCATTATTTTTAATCTAAACGTTTCTGAAAATGAGCAATCACATTTAATGGACACAGGAATTTTAGGCATTTATTTTTAACATGGTATTCTGTTTGTCTTTTCCTCTATCTTCTGCTTTTGGCATGTATTGGCCAGTTTCTACTAAATGGAGAAGGTGGTAATCTGAATGACATTAACTTCATAAAAGTCTATGACAGTCAGTAGCTGGATACCCGCGCATGCAGATATCGCTCTTAAGGAAGCACAGTCAGATTTCAGCAGCTGTTCATTGCTTCCAGCTTTAATAAGCTCACAGGCCAAAGAAACAGAGAAACAAGAAGGAAATATTATGGAGACTGGAAGACTTTAGCAGAAGAATGGGAAGTAGTTCAGCAGAAGACTGGAGGGGAGAAAGACAATACCAGAGGAAAGAGCTAGGAAATGCCATGAATGTGAGAGTAAGGGGAAAGGTGCAAATATCCAGAGAAACTGATGGTCGTGGAGAGATGGGGAATAGATGTGTGATTTCTGTGGTAGGAGACAAGTCTGCAGGAAATCAGGCAGTGCATGGAGCAAGCCTGTGGAAAGTATGACCTGTTTGAACATTAATGATTTGTGTTTAGGAATATGAAAGCCAAAATATAACAAAATCTGGGACAGATCAACCTCCTTTTCTCTATATGGTCTATAGGCCAAAAACGTGCTTTGAGTTTTACTGGAAGATAAAAAATGAAGCTCAGAGTAGCAGCAGGGACTCAGTTGGGTTGCAGGACACAGTCGTGCTGTGAAGGAAGTTTGAAGTAGCTGTGTGTTCACATGTTCCGGCTCAGGCGTGGGCACCACCCTGCACAACTCCAGTGCCTGGTCTCCACACACAGAGAGTAAACACACCTGAAATGCATGTGTTGCATGGTAGGGCATCACCCTGGGACACTGTGTGATGAACAGCAGGAGCTGTTGGAGAAGTGTAAAGAACTCTCAGTCTCTAATAACATCTCAGTCTTGGAACAGACAGGAGAGAGCAGTCTGGACTTGAAGGTCGTATCTAAAGGACTTCCAGGTCTTAGATGATTAGACAGAAGTTGGAAATCAGTGCTGTTTGGTTTGCAATGCCTCTCTCTCAAGAGGTGGTGAGCACTCCTACTCTCACCAATTTAGGCTCAATAGGAACGTGCAGGAAGGAACAGTGAGGTCAGAGCTGCTGGCACTGATGACAGTGCAGGTTCTTGCGGTAAGCGTTTACATGAGTCAAAGCTGACAGGGAGCACAAGCTACATATTAGTCAGAAAAAAGCTGAATAAATATACAATTAATGTTACAGATACTGTTATGTAAATAATATGCATGCACAGACTTAGAAGTAAAATGAAATTTGACAAAAAATGAATATTCTGAACTACGCTTACTGGAGTTTTACTGATGGATAACTGGAACTCATGTTTGCTTTCCACTTTTGATTAGAAAAATATCCTAGTGCAAATAAACGTTCTTCTGAAGTGTTTGTAAGCTACACGTGTAACTTTGGGCTGGAGCCTCAGACCTGAAATTGAAACTAGCAAGAAGTTTGCTCAAAAAAAGAGAAGGAAATGGACTGCCTGGTTTTTCTTGATCAAGATGATAAATAAGCAGCCTGTCAGGAAAGCAAATCGAGTTCATAAGCTGCTGGAAATGGTTGCAGCTTTGTTGAAGTTAAAAATAAAATTGTCCATGTTAATAGTCAAATATAGTATTTGTAACGTAGGGGATACATTTTTTAGGAGCAGGTGAATGCAGACAGACCCAGCTGTCTTTGCTGTACCTGATCTGGCTGGTTGCAATCCTGCCCTATTCTGGAAATCACATAGCTGCTTTAGCAAGCTGCTGTGTCAGAGCTTGCTGGCTTGTTTGTGGACGTCCTGCTATTGCAGCTATGGAGCTTCTGGATCAGAGCTGACTGACATTTAGTTATCTCACGGCATGGTCGGAGCAAGTCTGAATCTGCCTCCGTTCAGATAAATACACAAATACTCTAATTCTTTCTTTTGCGTGTATCCCTAACCCAAAGCTCATTTGAAAATCCTCCCAAGTATTAGCAATTATGTGCAGTTTCCCAGGGGTTTTTGCACATCATCGTCCTAGACCTCTTTAACCTGACTTCTAGAGGAAGAGTATGTTTGTTCCTGCCTCCAAGTGTAGTTCCTGAAGATTTGGAGTTTGTCATCGTACCTAACTACAGACCTTGGTACTGTAGCTGACATGCAGAGAATCTTGTTTTCTGCTTTGAAGAGCTCTGATATCCAGGGTGGATTGCAGTGGAAGTGTGTGTTTGGTGTGCGTGAATCAAGCTTTGCAAATGAGGCTGCAGTTTAAATAGTGCTGACTGGCTATGAAAGGTAGCCAGGATGTGAGATCTGAGCAGAGGTATGAGACTCTCTCCTGGAAGTTATTCTCATGTAAAGGTACTGTTTGACTAAATCCCCGCTTACCCTACCTAGCCTTTTATCTGACTCAAACTTCCAGCTTCCCATTGAATCTTGTGGTGTGACCATGTCAAACCAGCAACCAGTGTTAGAGACACTGCAGTCAGAGAAAGTGAGCCCGGGCAGAGTATGGGAAAAGGTGCTTGCAAGTACTTTAAC